TATAATAGAGGTAGTGACGCATGTGTAGGTTATAATACATGTAGTGACTCATGTGTAGGTTATATTACACGTAGTGACTCAAGTGTAGGTTATATTATTGGTAGTGACTCATGTGTAGGTTATAATACAGGTAGTGACCCATCTGTTGGTTATACTACAGGTAGTGACTCATGTGTAGGTTATAATACAGGTAGTGACTCATGTGCAGGTTATATTACAGGTAGAGACTCATGTGTAACTGATAATACAGGTAGTGACTCATGTGTAGGTTTTAATACAGGTAGTGACTCATGTGTAGGTTATAATACAGGTAGTGACTCATGTGCAGGTTATATTACAGGTAGTGACTCATGTGTAACTGATAATACAGGTAGTGACTCATGTGTAGGTTATAATACAGGTAATAACTCATGTGAAGGTTATAATACAGGTAGTGACTCATGTGAAGGCTATAATACAGGAAGTGACTCATGTGAAGGTTATAATACAGGTAGTGACTCATGTGAAGGTTATTCTACAGGTAGTGACTCATGTGTTGGTTATAATACAGGTAGTGACTCATGTGTAGGTTATAATAGTGGTAGTGACTCATGAGAAGGTTATAATACAGGTAGCGACTCATGTGTAGGTTATATTACAGATAGTGACTCATGTGTAAGTTATAATACAGGTAGCGATTCATGTGCTGGTTATATTACAGGTAGTGACTCATGTGTAAGTTATAATGCAGGTAGTGACTCATGTGTAGGTTATAATGCAGTTAGTGACTCATGTGTAGGTTATATACTGGTAGTGACTCATGTGTAGGTTGTAATACGGGTATTGACTCATGATAAGGGTTAGGATACAGGTAGTGACTCATGTGTAGGTTATAGTACAGGTAGCGACTCATGTGTAGGTTATAATACAGGTAGTGACTCTAGTGTAGGTTATAATACATATTGTGACTCATGTGTAGGTTATATTACACGTAATGACTCAAGTGTAGGTTATATTACTAGTAGTGACTCATGTGTAGGTTATAATACAGGTAGCGACCCATCTGATGGTTATACTACAGGTAGTGACTCATGTGTAGGTTATAATACTGGTAGTGACTCATGTGCAGGTTATATTACAGGTAGTGACTCATGTGTAACTGATAATACAGGTAGTGACTCATGTGTAGGTTATAATACTGGTAGTGACTCATGTGTAGGTTGTAATACGGGTAGTGACTCATGCTATAGGTTATGATACAGGTAGTGACTCATGTGTAGGTTATAATAGAGGTAGTGACTCATGTGTAGGTTATAATACATGTAGTGACTCATGTGTAGGTTATATTACAGGTTGTGACTCGTGTGTAGGTTTTTTTACAGGTAGTGACTCATGTGTAGGTTATAATACTACAGGTAATGACTCATGTGTACGTTATAATACAGGTAGTGACTCTAGTGTAGGTTATAATACATACAGTGACTCATGTGTAGGTTATATTACACGTAGTGACTCAAGTATAGGTTATATTACTGGTAGTGACTCATGTGTAGGTTATAATACAGTTAGTGACCCATCTGTTGGTTGTACTATAGGTAGTGACTCATGTGTAGGTTATAATACAGGTAGTGACTCATGTGCAGGTTATATTACAGGTAGTGACTCATGTGTAACTGTAATACAGGTAGTGACTCATGTGTAGGTTATAATACAGGTAGTGACTCATGTGAAGGTTATAATACAGGTAGTGACTCATGTGAGGGCTATAATACAGGAAGTGACTCATGTGAAGGTTATAATACAGGTAGTGACTCATGTGAAGGTTATACTACAGGTAGTGACTCATGTGTAGGTTATATTACAGGTAGTGACTCATGAGAAGGTTATAATACAGGTAGTGACTCATGTGTAGGTTATATTACAGGTAGTGACTCATGTGTAGGTTATAATACTGGTAGTGACTCATGTGTATGTTATAATACAGGTAGTGACTAATTTGTTGGTGATAATACAGGGAGTGACTCATGTGTAGGTTATAATACAGGTAGTGACTCATGTGCATATTATATTACAGGTAGTGACTCATGTGTAGGTTATAATACAGGTAGTGACTCATGTTCAGATTATATTACAGGTATTTACTCATATGTAGGTTATGATACAGGTTGTGACTCATGTGTAGGTTATAATACAGGTAGTGACTCATGTGTTGCTTATAATACGGGTAGTGACTCATGTGTAGGTTATAATGCAGGTAGTGACTCATGTGTAGGTATAATACAGGTAGTGACTCGTGTGTAGGTTATAATACAGGTTGTGACTCATGTGCAGGTTATAATATAGGTAATTACTCATGTGTAGGCATAATACCGGTAGTGACTCATGTGTAGGCTATAATGGAGGTAGTGGCTCATGTGTAAGTTATAATACAGGTACTGACTCATGTGTAGGTTATAATACTGGTAGTGACTCATGTGTAGGTTATATTACAGGTAGTGACTCGTGTGTAGGTTATTTTACAAGTAGTTACTCATGTGTTGGTTATATTACAGTTAGTAAATCATGTGTAGGTTATATTACAGGTAGTGAATCATGTGTAGGTTATAATACTGGTAGTGACTCATGTGTAGGTTATAATACAGGTAGTGACTCATGAGTTGGTTATAATACAGGTAGTGACTCATGTATAGGTTATAATACAGGTAGTGACTCATGTGCATATTATAATACAGGTAGTGACTCATGTATAGGTTATAATACAGGTAGTGACTCATGTGCAGAGTATATTACAGGTATTGACTCATATGTAGGTTATAATACAGGTAGTGAATCATGTGTAGGTTAAAATTCAGGTAGTTACTCATGTGAAGCTATAATACAGGTAGTGACTCATTTGTAGGTTATAATAAAGGTAGTGACTCATGTGTAGGCTTCAATGGAGGTAGTGGCTCATGTTTAAGTTATAATACAGGTAGTGACTCATGTGTAGGTTATAATACAGGTAGTGACTCATGTGTTGGTTATAATACGGGTAGTGACTCATATGTAGGTTATAATTCAGGTAGTGACTCATGTGCAGGTATAATACAGGTAGTGACTCGTGTGTAGGTTATAATACAGGTTGTGACTCATGTGCAGGTTATAATACAGGTAGTGACTCATGTGTAGGCTATAATGGAGGTAGTGGCTCATGTGTAAGTTATAATATAGGTAGTGACTCATGTGTAGGTAATAATACAGGTAGTGACTCATGTGTAGGTTATATTACAGGTAGTGATTCGTGTGTAGGTTATTTTACAGGTAGTTAGTCATGTGTAGGTTATATTACAGTTAGTAAATCATGTGTAGGTTATAATATTGGTAGTGACTCATGTGTAGGTTATAATACAGGTAGTGACTCATGTGTTGGTTATAATACGGGTAGTGACTCATGTGTAGGATATAATACAGGTAGTTACTCATGTGTAGGTATAATACAGGTAGTGACTCATGTGTAGGTTATATTACAGGTAGTGACTCATATGTATGTTATATTACAGGAAGTGACTTATGTGTAGGTTATAATACAGGTAGTGACTCATGAGTAGTTTATAATATTACTGGTAGTGGCTTATGTGTAGGTTATAATACAGGTAGTGACTCATGTGTAGGTTATAATACTACAGGTAGTGACTCATGTGTAGGTTATAATATAGGGAGTGGCTTATGTGCAGGTTATATTACAGGTATTGACTCATATGTAGGTTATAATACAGGTAGTGACTTATGTGTAGGTTATAATACTACAGGTAGTGACTCATGTGTAGGTTATAATACAGGTAGTGGCTTATGTGCAGGTTATAATACAGGTAATGACTCATGTGTAGTTTATAATACAGGCAGTGACTCATGTGCAGATTATATTACAGGTATTGACTCATATGTAGGTTATAATACAGGTAGTGAATCATGTGTAGTTTATAATACTACAGGTAGTGACTCATGTGTAGGTTATAATACAGGTAGTGGCTTATGTGCAGGTTGTAATACAGGTAATGACTCATGTGTAAGTTATAATGCAGGTAGTGTCTCATGTGTAGGTTATAATACAGGTAGTGGCTTATGTGCAGGTTGTAATACAGGTAATGACTCATGTGTAAGTTATAATGCAGGTAGTGACTCATGTGTAGGTTATAATACAGGTAGTGACTCATGTGGAGATTATATTACAGGTAGTGACTCGTGTGTAGGTTATTTTACAGGTAGTTACTCATGTGTAGGTTATAACACCGGTAGTGACTCATGTGTAGGTTATAATACTACAGCTAGTGACTCATGTGTAGGTTATAATACAGGTAGTGGCTTATGTGCAGGTTATAATACAGGTAGTTACTCATGTGTAGGTATAATAAAGGTAATGTCTCATATGTAGTTTATAATACAGGTAGTGACTTATGTGTAGGTTATTTTACAGGTAGTGACTCGTGTGTAGGTTATAATACTACAGGTAGTGACTCATGTGTATGTTATAATACAGGTAGTGACTCATGTGTAGGTTATATTTCAGGTAGTGACTCATGTGTAGGTTATAATACAGGTAGTGACTCATGTGTAGGTTATATTTCAGGTAGTGACTCATGTGTAGGTTATAATACAGGTCGTGACTCATGTGTAAGTTATAATACAGGTAGTGACTCATGCATAGGTCATAATACAGGTAGTGACTCATGTGTAGGTTATAATACAGGTAGTTACTCATGTGTAAGTAATAATACAGGTATTGACTCATGTGTAGGTTATAATACAGGCAGTGAATCATGTTTAGGTTATATTACAGGTAGTGTCTCATGTGTAGGTTATAATGCAGGTTGTGACTCATGTGTAGGTTATAATACAGGTTGTGGCTCATATGTAGGTTATAATACAGGTAGCAACTCCTGTGTAAGTTATGATACAGGTAGTGACTCATGTGTATGTTATAAATACAGGTACCTACTCATGTGTAGGTTATAATACAGGTAGTGACTCATTTAGCGACTCACCTGTAAACGATGAATGCTCCAGGCTTGGTGCTGTTGTCCCAGTCCATCCACATGTTGTCACCAGCGACTGGAGGGTCCTCACAACCTGTGACAAAACACACACACACACACCTGTCTTATTTCGCTACTAACTATCTGTAGACTTCAAACACACACACACACACACCAGTCTTCATTTCCATACTATATAAAATAACACAAATGTAATGCAACAAGTATTTACGTATAAAAGTCTCGCTGAAACTCGTATTTGAAAAGTATGTTAAGAATTAGGTTAAAAGTCTCTGTAGATTGTAAAAGAGATGGAATTAAAGACCAAATTTAATTGTCCCTGAAAATCGTATACTAGAGTAATAACCACGTACTGATAGGTCCTGGGTGTTGGCAAACTACGTGGGTGAAATTGTTTCTTGTGAGGGGGAAGGAAGTGAGGAAGTAAGGGCTTTCAGGAGACACAGGCACCGAGAGAGCGTAGTACGGGTCTGGGCCTGTTGCTTTATCCGTTACCTCAGCTAATGGGTTGTACAGACCTCCCTGTGTCCAGTCCCCTCTCCTGTATAATAAATAACAAGACATATGCTGTACCGACTTCAGAGAGGAGTACAGAAAATACAGTACGTCATGAGATAATATTTATATGTTATGCAGAAACTCTCTCTCTGTCTCTCTCGTGTACTCTAGTCAAGCTCTCACTAATTAATTTAATTTTTCTCTGGAGTACTCAAACTTTCACTAGAGTACTCACACGTTGTTGAGCGCCATGACGGCATCTGCTTGAGCACTTAGTACAGCGGAATGAGTTTCCCCAACCTCTTCCTGAAGACACAGATATATAACTTTGATATTTAGAATGAACAATAAAATTTAACATTAACACTTAGAAAAACAGCAACAGTTAACGATAACACTTAAGAACAATGTCATTTAAATTTAACACTTCGAAAAAAAAACAATAGACTCTAATAACATTAAACATCAACAATAGCCTCAAACAAAAACACTCACTCTGGAGGTCAAGAACTACAGGTACTCATAGTGCAGGATCAGAATTTAAATACTTACTCTAAGTCTTCTAGCCAACTTCTGCAAGACACGCTCGTACTCAGGGAAGGCCAAGCTACTGTTTACACTGTCACACGCTGCTAAGGCTTCTTCAACACCACCACCTCCACTGATTTCCACGATCTTGAAACATCCTCCCGTCATTAAGAAGAACGTTGGAGGACAGGCGCCTGTAAGAGACGGAGCATCTGAGTCTACTGACATTTTTACATTATGTGGTAAATGATTTCATGGGAACACTAAATTATTTGTTCATGAGTGCAACTTATGGTAAACACCTTGAATAGTAACAGGCTGTGAGTATCTTTAGGGTTCAGCTTTCATCTTAAATTCTTAACTGCAATTTCTACATCGTGACGTTAAATAAGATCGGGAAGTTAACGTTATCTAATAGTGAGATAAGAGCAGCAGCCTTGGTATCACTGCTGTGGTAAGAGTTCATCTAGTCTGTGGAAGCATTTATATTCTATCCTAGGTTGTGGCACACCATTTGTGATATTGTACTGTAGATAATATAGCACTGACTATGATAGGTGGTGTGGCACTGACTGTAATAGATGGTGTGGCATTGACTGTGATAGATGGTGTGGCACTCACTGTGACAGATGGTGTGGCACTAACTGGGATGTAAGGGTGTGGCACTGCATATGATAGATGAGGTGATAAAGGCTGTTATAGACGGTCTGGCACTGACAAAGGTAAGTGGGTGGTGACACTGATCAGAACTGATATGTGACAGTGACCAAAGTAACTTAATGACATAAATTACAACAGGTAAGTGACACTGACAAAGGTTAATAAGTACCACTACTGACAGGTATATGACACTGACCAAGCTAGCTGAGTAACACTAATTAGAACAGGTGAGTGGCACTGATCAAGCTAGCTCAGTAAAACTAATTAAAAAAGGTGAGTGGCACTAATTAATCTAACTGAGTAACACTAATTAGAACAGGTGAGTGGCACTAATCAAGCTAGCTGAGTAACACTAATTAGAACGGGTGAGTGGCACTGACCAGGGTACATACAGACGTGTTGGGTGGAAGGGTCCTCACAGCTCTGGTATTTATACACAACCTGGAAATCACTGGTCACTGGATTCGTAGTCTTGGCCACAACAAGGCACTCGGCTCCTGGTTCTTCCTGGTGGTGGCAATACTTAAGGTTAGTCACTTAGACATGGAGTTAGTCACTTATACTTGGGGTTAGTTACTTATACTTAAGGTTAGTCACTTATACTTGGGGTTAGTTACTTATACTTTGGGTTAGGTACTTACATTTGGGATCAGTTACCTATACTTGGGGTTAGTTACATATATTTGGGGTTAGTTACTTATATTTGGGGTTAGATACTTATATTTGGGATCAGTCACTTATACTTAGGGTTAGTTACTTATACTTGGGGCTAGTTACTAGAATACTTGGCGTTAGTTACTGATACTTGGGGTTAGTGACTTATACTTAGCGTTAGTTACTGATACTTGGGGCTAGTTACTTATACTTGGGGTTAGTTACTTATACTTGGGGTTAGTTACTTATACTTGGAGTTAGTTACTTACACTTAGCGTTAGTTACTGATACTTGGGGCTAGTTACTTATACTTGGGGTTAGTTACTTATACTTAGGGTTAGTTACTTATACTTGGGGTTAGTTACTTACACTTAGCGTTAGTTACTGATACTTGGGGTTAGTTACTTATACTTGTGGTTAGTTACTTACACTTAGTTACTTACACTTTGCGTTAGTTACTGATACTTGGGGTTAGTTACTTATACGTGGGGTTAGTTACTTACACTTAGCGTTAGTTACTTATACTTGGGGTTCGTTACTTATACTTTGGTTAGTTTCTTATACTTTGGTTAGTTACTTATACTTGGAATTAGTCACTTATACTTTGGTTAATTACTTATACTTGTGGTTAGTTACTTGTACTTGAGATTAGTTACTTATACTTTGGGTTAGTTACTTATATTTGGGGTTAGTCACTTATACTCGGGGTTAGTTACTTATTCTTGGGGTTAGTTACTTATACTTGGGGTTAGTTACTTATACTTGGGGTTAGTTGCTGATACTTGGGGTTAGTTACTTATACTTGGGGTTAGTTTGCGTTACTTATACTTGGGGTTAGTTACTTATACTTGGGGTTAGTTACTTATACTTGGGGTTAGTTACTTATACTTGGGGTTAGTTACTTATACTTGGGGTTAGTTACTTATACTTGGGGTTAGTTACTTATACTTGGGGTTAGTTACTTATATTTGGGATCAGTTACTTATACTTGGGGTTAGTTACTTATATTTGTGGCTAGTTACTCGTACTTGGGGTTAGTTACTTATACTTGGGGTTAGTTACTCATACTTGGGTTTAGTTACTTATATTTGTGATTAATTACTTATACTTTGGGTCAGTCACTTATGCTTGGGGTTAGTCACTTATACTTGGGGTTAGTCACTTATACTTGGGGTTAGTTACTTATACTTGGGGTTAGTTGCTTATATATGTGGTTAGTTACTCATACTTAGCGTTAGTTACTTATACTTGGGTTAGTCACTTATACTTGGGTTAGTTACTGATACTTGGGGTTAGTCACTTATACTTGGGTTAGTCACTTATACTTGGGTTAGTTACTGATTCTTGGGGTTAGTTACTTATGCTTGGGGTTACTCACTTATACTTGGGTTAGTTACTGATACTTGGGGTTAGTCACTTTTACTTGGGTTAGTTCGTTCATTACTCACGTAATGGTTTATGACCGACAGTACAGGACAACCAAGCGCTTTATTTTATTGGTGGTTTTCTTATATGGATGTATATTTTACTTGTGTGTGTGTGTGTGTGTGTGTTGCTCACATAACTGCGAGGGTTTATGCTTTCCCCTCCCTGGCTGGCATCGTAACGACCCCTACCCTATCGTATTTAAAAAATATATATATTTCATTTTGTATGCGATAATATTAACGGAAATATTGCCATTTGGTAATTTTGTCACTGAACGGAACACGGGACACCGTGGTGAGATTCCCCGCGCCGCTTCCCCCTTCCCCTCTATACAGTATGGCAGTTTGTGTTAACTCCTGCACGCATCAATTGGAGTACCGTCCTCATAATCTAAGGGTTGGCGACCACAGTTCTCAACGCTAAACTTTCTCGGGCTGTTTTTATTAATCATCTAAGGTTTTGCATCACTCTGGGGATCCAATTTTTAATTTAATTCATCCATCCTAGTCTCACCCTTCCCCTGGCCCTCCAGGGGAAGGGTGTGGTTTACAGGACAGGAAACAGCGAGTAAGCATTAACGGCACTAAATCCGATTGGAGTAACGTCACTAGTGGAGTACCCCAAGTCTCAGTACTTGGACCATTATTATTTATTATATACATAAACGACATAGATAACGGCGTAGACACCAACAGAGTATATTTGCTGATGACACTAAAATAGGAAGATCTTAACCAATTTTTCGAATGGTCTGAAGAATGGCAGATGAAATTCGATGTGGACAAATGTAAAGTACAGTACTTAGTCTAGGAGATGTAAACAGAGAAACCAGATACCAGATGAACAACGATGTTATAGAGAAATCCGAATATGAGAAAGATTTAGGAGTAATGATAAGTAGGGATCTTAAAGCCAGTAAACAATGTGTATTTCTTTGAAACAAGGCTAACAAAGTACTTGGGTTAGTTACAAGATTAGCGAGGTCATCCAAAAACTATATCTTGCGCTTGTGAGACCTCACTTGGATTACGCAGTTCAATTCTGGTCACCGTACTAAGGAATAGATATAGAATCCATAGAGAAAATTCAGAGGAGAATGAGACTAATCCCGAGCATTAGGAACCTTCAGTACAGAGACAGGTTAAAGCATCTTAATTTGCACTCCCTCGAGAGACGTAGAGTGAGGGGCGATATGATCGAGGTGTATAAATGGAAGTCAGGGTTAAACAAAGGTGATATAACAAGGGTACTCAAACTATCCAACCAGGAGCGAACTCGTAACAATGGTTTTAAATTAGACAAATTTAGATATAGGCGCGAGATAGGTAAACATTAGTTTGAAAATAGAGTAGTGGATAAGTGTGACAAGTTAGCAAACATCATTATTAACTCGAATACGCTGGATAGCTTCAAACATAGGTTGGATGGATATATGAGCGATAGGGGTTGGGTGTAAATGGGACTGCCTAGTATGGGCCAATAGGACCGCTGCAGTTTCCTCCATTCATAAGTTCTTACGTTATTAGGTAAGAAATTTTTATTCCCGTTATGTTTCTGACCTTATGGTAACTATTATTTTTGGGGGGCTCTTTCTTTATGAGCAATTGTGTGCGCATGTAACAAAAAATAAAAATAAATAAAATTACATATATCTACCAGACATTACAAGTTGAAAAATAACAATAAAGCAAATCGCAGCTTGGCCTGGCAGGAGGGTTGGGGGGAGGGGGGGACCCATACCACCCTCCCACCCCTTACCCTCCCACGATTCGCACATAACTCCTGAGAATGTAAGAAATTTTTATTTTGTATTTATGTTTTTTACCTTATATTTTGTTTTTACACATTTTGCATGAAAGATAGTGTGTGCATGTAACAATAAAAAATTAAGAAAATTATGTATGTCTACATACTGTATGTCTGTACAGTCGCGGTCAAAAGTAGTAATACACTCCACCATATCACCCCAGTGCCTTGGCCGGTCCTTTCTGCACAGTAAGTCACTCTGGGTGGTGAAGGAGAAATGGTCGTTCTGGGGGAGGGCCGTTTGATCAGGGGGGTGAGGGGGAGGGTGGTATGAACATAAGAACATAAGAAAATAAGGAGTCTGCAATAGGCCAGTTGGCCTGTGCATGGCAGCTCCTGTCGAGAGTTACTACCACTCTCTATCATCCATGAATCTATCTAGCCTCCCTTTGAAACTTTCCAGAGTTCCCGCACTTACTACAAAGTTGCTAAGCTTGTTCCACTCGTCCACCACCCTATTTGTGAACCAGTTTCTTCCTATCTCCCTCCTAAACCTAAACTTATCCAACTTGAATCCGTTGCTCCGAGTCCTATCCTGCTCGGATATTATAAGAACTTTATCTATATCCCCTTTATTGATTCATTTCACCCATTTAAATACTTCTATCATATCTCTCCGCACTCTTCGTCTTTCTAGGGAATGCAAGTTAAGTTTCTTTAACCAATCCTGATACGGAAGGTTTTTAAGTCCTGGAATCATTTTTGTCATTCTTCGCTTCACCGACTCTAGTGAATTTATATCCATTCTATAATAGGGGCACCAGAACTGGACCGCATAATCGAGGTGCGGCCTGACTAGCGCAAGATATAGTTGCAATAAGACCTCTGCACTCTTGTTACTTACACTTCTAGATATAAAACCCAATACTCTGTTTGCCTTATTTCGAACATTAACGCACTGTTTTCTAGGCCGTAAATCCGGGGTTACAAGTACCCCAAGGTCTCTTTCACAAGTCGACTTCTCTAGGTTGATGTTGTTAAGGCTGTATACATTATAAGTATTTGTTCTTCTAATATTAAGTATGCTGCACTTGCTGGTGTTGAATTTCATTTGCCATTTTTCAGACCACCCCTGCAGTTTATTTAGATCCTCCTGTAATGCATTTGCATCCTGCCCTGAATTAATTTGCCGCCCTACTTTGGTGTCATCCGCAAACTTGCTTATGTCACTGCTGATCCCAGTATCTAAATCGTTTATGTAGATTATGAACAAGAGTGGGCCTAGTACTGACCCCTGGGGAACCCCACTAGTTACACGGCCCCACTCAGATTTAACACCATCTACGCTGACCCTCTGCGTTCTATCGGTGAGCCATGATTTTATCCAATTTAAAACTTTCCCCTCGATACCATGAGCCTTAATTTTTCTCAGAAGCCTCTGATGCGGTACTCTGACAAATGCTTTGCTAAAGTCTAAGTAAATAACATCGTAATTTTCGTCATTATCTACTACCTCGAAGACTTTCCTAAAAAACGTTAGCAGATTTGTTAGACAAGATTTTCCCTTTGTAAACCCATGTTGAGAGTCGTAGATTAATTTGCTTTTCTCTAGATGCGATCGGATGCTATCTGCTATAATTGATTCAAGAAATTTCCCCACTACTGACATCAAACTGATCCGCCGGTAATTTGACGCTGATGCTCTGTCTCCCTTTTTGAATATGGGTACTACATTTGCCTGTTTCCACAAGTCTGGCACAACTCCAGTGTCTAATGATTTTGTAAATAAGTTTACGAGGAGTCCGCTAATCTGTTCCCTACACTCTTTCAAGACTCGAGGGAAAATTTCATCCGGCCCTGGGGATTTTGTTTTCTTTAGTTTATTTATCTTCTTAAGAACATCCTCTTTTCTGATAGTGATATTCTTTAATTTCTCTTCTTCCTTTCCCTTAAATATCAGTTCCACCTTTGGAATTTCATCACAAATTTCTTCTATGAAAACTGATAAGAAGTAGCTGTTCAATGCTTTGCTTATTTCTTCACTGCCATTTATCACTTCTCCCCTCCCTGACTTTAAAGTCCCAACTTTGTCCTTGACCTTTGTCCTATATACCTGGGAAAATCCCTTGGGATTCGCCTTGGATTCTCTTGCTATTTTGATTTCATAGTCTCTCTTTGCTTTCCTTACATTTTTCTTAACATTCCTAGATAGTTCATTATACCTGTTTCTGAGCTGCTCCTCCCCTCCCTTTAATTTCTTATATATTCCTTTCTTTATTCCTATGTCATGTTTAAGTTTTCTGGTCATCCACCTTGGCTCATTCTTATTTGACCTAATTTTTATGTATGGTATATTTTGTTCTTGTGCTTTATGTAGTATACTAGTGAATATATTATAGTCATGATCAATTGTTGTGTCATCTATGACCTCACCCCTTCCTACTGGGGACTGACGTGACTGTTCCCAGGTGGCCTCACCTAGGTACCTTCTTAACCCCTGATAATCCGCCAACCGAAAGTTTGGGACTCTGACCATATTGTCATTGTTTTTCGTTTCCCAATTTAGGGTGAACCTGATTTCTCTGTGATCACTGCTACCTAGTTCTTCCCCTATTGTGTTATCTCTAATAATATTTTCTGTATTTATTAATACTAGGTCTAATATATTGTCACCTCTAGTAGGTTCTGTAATTAGTTGTTTCAAAAAATTGTCGTGTACTCCGTCTAGGAAGTCTTCAGATTCATAGTTACCTACAATGTTGTGCCAGTCAATATTTCTAAAGTTGAAATCCCCCATAATGCATAGGTTGTTATATTTTGCTGCCCTACTCATTTCCTGCCATATGGGCTGAGCTGCTTCTTTGCCAAGACTTGGGGGCCTGTAAATCACTCCCATAATTAGTTTTTCTCTTCCTTCCGTGATTTCTACCCACACAGACTCGGTTCCTATTTCACCCTTTATTAAATTATTAATACAACATTTTAATGTATCATTGACGAAGAGTGCGACCCTTCCTACCTTCCCTGTCTTTGTGAAAAAGGTTGTACCCTTCTATGTGGTGCTCCGTTGTTTCCCTTTTCCCGTGTGATTTTATCAAGATATGTATATATATATATATATATATATATATATATATATATATATATATATATATATATATATATATATATATATATATATATATATATATATATTTCATAATAAAGCACATGGACTTCTACATATAATCAACAATATATATATATATATATATATATATATATATATATATATATATATATATATATATATATATATATCGATAAAATCACACGGGAAAAGGAAACAACGGAGCACCTTGCTTTCCTTTTCCTAAAGATTTTATCCGTTATTTTATCCACGTTTTCATTGTGGATCTACATGAAATATATATATATATATATATATATATATATATATATATATATATATATATATATATATATATATATATATATATATATATATATATATATATATATATATTTATTTATTTATTTATTTATTTACTTCTCAACATCTGAACAAGTAGATGAAGAAAATAAAATTAGTATTCCCTATTGGGCAGGCCTTTTACCCTCTCTCAAATGAACAAACCACTCTCGAGCGGGGTCATAACCCCCAGTTTGGGAACTAATGTTTTATATCGGTTACCTTGTGAGTATGTATGTATGTATGTATGTATGTATGTATGTATGTATGTATGTGTATTACAACCACGTCAAGATGTGTCACAAATACACCATAGTACCCATACCATGGCATAATCTATATATAAAAACAGGTTCATGAACTTACCGCACATACCGAGCCGGGGTCACAGGTGGCATCAGGAATGATTGGAGTCGGCCAGGATGTGCTGCAGAAGGCGGTGTAGGTGGTGGTAACAAGTGTGTGAGTGTGTTAGTACTCATTCTTAATAGCTCAGTCTTAAACTAAATTTACATATGACTACTAAACATCTTATTATCAAGTCAGAATTAACTTTTCCTTCGTCCATTACTGAACAATCTTTTAAAAGTGTAGTGGACGATGGTTTAAACACAGTCAGGTATACACAGTCAGATATACACAATCAGGTTTATACAGTTAGGTATACACAGTCAAGTATACACAATCAGGTTTATACAGCCAGGTATTCAGTCAGGCATACTACTACTACTACTTTCCTGTCAATCGGAATCGAGTATGGCGATCATCCAGCTATAATACAATGATATGAGTTATTAGGGATGTCAACTTGGTTGGTGAGTTTTGAGGAGACTAAAGAGGCTGATACGGGACCGGCAGGGTCAATCACAGATGTTGCACATGTGGTGGGCTACATCTACAAGCGGCGGCAGCATCTTTCCTGCGTTGATGCTTGTCTGCCTCGTTATACAGTCGGGATAACTCGAAAGTATTGACACCTTCGTGTGTGGTGAGCCTCCAAGCGTTACGGTGTGAAGTAGTTGACTCTCAGGTGAGGGGGTCGATTTGGCACTTTTCAGGCTTGTCTTAAGATTATCCTTATACCTTTTTTGAGATGCCCGCAAGCGTTACGTTTGCTATTCGTTAGGTGACTGTAAAGTAGCTGCTTTGGCAGTCTATTGTCGTCCATGCGGGTAATATGGCTGGTCCAACATAGTTCATAGTTGTTCATGGATACTGGTCGCCTCGATGCTTCTACAGTTGGTGTCAGCAAGAATACTGGCATTTGTTCTCTCGTCTGCCAAGCGAACTCCGAGGATGGAACGTAGACTACATTGGTGAAAGTTTTCAAGTGCCTTGATGTGCCTTCTGTATGTGACCCATGTCTCGCTGCCATATTGCAGGGTTGGGAGGACCACTGCTCGATAGTGTAACTTTGTAGACAATTTCAGCTCCCTACAGCTGAAGACATGGTTTTGGAATTTGCCAAAGTCTTGAGATGCACATCTGATCCGATGCTGAATCTCTTCATCGATGTCCGCGGAGGTGGACAGGTGGGAATCGAGATACCGAAAGTGGGTAACATTAGAGAGAGTAGTACTGTTAAGCTGGGACAGGCTGAAAGAGAATTTAAGTCTTACGTACATTCACCTCCAGGCCGAAATGTGCATCTGCGTAAGTGTTCAGGATCTCCTGTAGGTCCCGTTCAGTGTGGGCTACAAGGGTGAGGTAGTCTGCATACTGAAGCTCAGTAATAGAAGCTGCTAACACATTTGTTCCTGCCTGGAGTCGTCTTATGTTGAAAAGACCCTTTATCCGGTACCCGATGTCCACCCCGCCGGCTAAAGTGGTGCTGGCACGAGTAAGGAAGGCAGCCAAGAAAATGGAAAAGTGAGTTGGTGCTAGTACACACCCTTCCTTAACCCCCGCTTGGATAGGGAAGAACTCAGACTGGATGCCATTGTGCAGGACACTACCATTCCTACCATCATGAAGTTGCCTCACAATGGCGATGAATTTTGGTGGGCAGCCAAAACGGCTGAGGATCCACCAGAGGGCTTCCCTGTTGACCGAGTCGAAGGCCTTGGTTAGGTCGATGAAAGCCATGTACAGGTCACACGCTTTTCTCTACACTTTTCCTGTATCTGACGGGAAGCAAAGATCATGTCAGTGGTGCCACGTGATGTTCTAAAGCTACATTGAAATTTTGCGAGGAGTTTATCCGCCTCAGGATGAGGTCTGTTTAGGAGAACTCGGGCGATAATTTTGCCAGCTAAGGACAGCAGCGTGATCCCGCGGTAGTTGCCACAGAGTGACCGGTCAATCTTGTTCTTGTAAATATTGACAATGGAGGCGTCTTTAAGAGCTTGGGGGATATCCTCCTTTTCCCATACATTCTCCAGGAGAGAGTGGAAACGGCTGGTAAGCAAGGGTCCTCCTGCTTTATAGACCTCGGCTGGGACTCCATCAGGCCCTAGAGCTTTGTTATTTTTCATTTGTTTGGTGGCAGTAGCTACCTCATCCAGGGATGGAGTATAGCTGAGGAGGGTCAGATCTGCATGCTGAGGGACCTGCTGGGTAGTCAGGACATCCACATCCGTGTTTCGGTTTTGCAATGAATGGTAGTTTTCTTTCCAGCGCTGAAGGAGGCCTTCATCGTCTTTAATTATGGAGTTACAGTCGGATGAGCAGAGTGGGGCTGCGCCACGAGTGATTCGCCCAAAAAATGTTTTAGTTGAATTGAAAAAATCGGGCATCTTGTGCTGATCAGCAATTTTTTTATGTTTCACATTCGTTATTTTTAAACCAGTCGTTCTTTAGATTAAGAAATTCCCGGTGGACCGCCACTTTCTTCTTGCGAAAGGTATCAGCTTTGGTCCGACAATGAGGGTTGTTCTGCCAGTCAGTTAGAGCAGCACGTTTATCATCAATGATTACATTGATTGCCAGGTCATTTTCATCAAAATAGTCCTGGTGTATTCTTTCGATCTGGCCGAGGATCTCTCTGCATGTTTTTGCCATGACAGTGTCAATAATATCTCATTCGGCACTGGGGTTTGCGTTGTCTGCTATCGGGTTGTTTGTCAGCCCATATTCGAGCTGCTCTCTGAAAGTATGTGCTACCGCTGCATCCACCAGATGATTAGTGTTAAAACGTCTTCTGGAGGCTTACTGCACTCGCCGTTTTGGGGCGACGTGAAGTAAGAGCTTGGCACTGACGAACTGATGATCAGTGTTGCAGTGGTTTGAGCCACGCATGTCACGGGTGATGAGGACATCTCGGCGATCTCTTTGTCTGACAATGATGTAGTCAATGAAATGCCAATGTTTAGATCGTGGGTGTTGCCACAAGGTATTTATGATAGTGAGGTTGTGTGCAGCACACTTGCTGAGGAGGAGTAGGCCTTTGGGATTACACTTGCCTAGTCCATTTCTCCCTATGGTTTCCTGCCAAATGTCAGCATTTCTGCCAGCTCTGGCATTGAAGTCACCAAGGAGCACAACCTTATCTTCTCTGGGGATAGAAGTCAGCACTCTGTCGAGGTCGGCGTAAAAGGCCTCCTTGATGTCATCCTCTGCATCCAATCTTGGAGCATATGCACTGATGAAAAAGGCATGTCGTGAGTGATTTAGTGGGACTCGGAGCGTCATGAGGCGCTTGTTGATCCCAATACGCATTTCAGTTAGCCTGTGTATGATGTGTTGGCAGATGGCAAATCCAACTCCATAAATGTAGTTTCTCTCCCCAACAGGCTTACCCTTCCAGAAGAAGGCATAGCCAGAACCCCATTCTGTGAGTTGACCCTCCTCTGGTAGCCGGGACTCACTAATGGCTACTATGTCGATGTTATATCTAGCCAGCTCTTTTGCCACAAGGGCGGTTCTTCTTTCAGGGCGCTCATTTGTGCCAGTATCCAGAAGGGTCTTGACATTCCATGCAACGACCATAAAAGGTTGTATAGTTTTTTTGGGGGGGTCTGTGATTCTGATTGTGTTTTCGACTGCATAAGGATGACCTTGTTGTGTACGGTTTCCCAGTCAGGTTGTTTTCTTTAGGCAGGCTATGTTTAGGGCACCTTTTCTAGACCCCTCCTCATGTGGGGTGAGCAAAGTTCCTCCTCGAAAGGGCTGCACAGTCGCACAGACAGGCCCGGATTGCACTGCTGCCCAGATCCCAGTGCATAAATGACCATCTTATCTGTGCCTTCCATGTGCAGAGTTATGACTAGAGATTCCTGGCGGTCATCTCTTCCTGTCCCCGTCGCCACTTGTCCGTCGCCAAAGGACTTTTGTGGGTATAGGGGTTTTACTGATGATGATGATGAGTGGTATGATGAACTGGATGATGGCTGCTCATGAGTTCATTTATATGGTGAGGCAGGAGCGCAGGCTGCAGCCACACCTCTTGGCTCTCCCTTTTCCTGGTCAAGTGGTGTAAGTGTTGCAACGACTGGGGAGAGGGAGAGTTGCAATAGACTGCCGATAGATAAATTGTTAGGTTTCGCCTTAGTAGCCTGTCCATCAGGAATTGCCTTCGTCCGCCAGCATATTCGTTGTGTTCCCATGGCGGTCACCTCTTCCGCCGTTTGGATCTTTTTGGGGCTCTGTAAATATGTCTGCCTAATGCGGGGCTCCGCCACAAATTTTCCATTCGAGGTTTACTCCTGTAGCCTTATACCTACCAAGGTTAATCCAAAAGGCAGAGGGCAATGGTTGGTAGGCGTGTCCACATGCCAGTGGGCCTATACACCGTCCCTCTGGAGCCTACTGCTACTCCGAGATCCCCTGCTGGCCTAGCCTGGGCCCACGAGGCACCCAGTTACCGTGTGTTGCTATGAGGAAGCACAGCAGGAGTCTTGATGATGAAGAGCCTGTGTACTGTCAGGGGAAGACTTATGCAAGTTGCTTCCATGTTCACCACGAGGGCTAGCCAGAGGCGGAAGCTGAAAGCGAGAGAAAGCAAGCAGTGGTTGCACCTTAACACTAACATAATGCTGCCACACTAGACGCATTTCTGCACCCTGTTCACGAACAGTCAAGTATACACAGTCAGGTATTATACATAGTCAGGTTTATACAGTTAGGTATGCACATTTAAGTATACACAGTGAGGCTTACACAGTCAGGTTTATACAGTCTGGTATACACAGCTAGATATACACCGTAAGGTTTACAATATCAGATTTATACAGTCAGGTTTAGACAGTCAGATATACATAGTCAGCTATACACGGTCAGGTTTATACACAGTTAGGTTTATAAAATTAGGTTTGCACACAGGTATACATAGTCAGGTATACACAGTCAAGTTTACACAGTCAGATGTACACAGTGAGGCATACGGTCAGGTTTATACAATCACGTTTATACAGAGTTAGGTTAATAAAGTTAGTTTTGCATACAGTCAGGCTTATACACACTCAGTTGTATACACAGTTAGGTTTACACACAGTCGGGCTTACACACAGTTATGTTTACACACTGTCAGGATTACACACAGTCAGGTTTACACACTGTCAGGATTACACACAGTCAGGTCTACAAACAGTTAGGTTTACACAGTCGGGTTTACACAAATCTAAACGAGGGTCTTTCGTGTATTTGATAATTTTTAAGGTGAAAATTTCGAAGTCAATGTTTAGGAACAAGATGAAGATGTTCTCTCTCTCTCTCTCTCTCTCTCTCTCTCTCTCTCTCTCTCTCTCTCTCTCTCAAAAGAATATTATTACCCAGGTACATGATAGGTGTAGTAGTAGGTGTTCGCCTGGGCCAGCCTCATCACATCTGCCGGGTTACGGATGACAGCCAAAGACGATCTGTCATCTATACATCTGAAGGGCATGACAAGGAGCAACTATGACACATGACAAGAGGGAATTGTACCGTATGACTAAAGGCAGCTGTGACACATGCCAAGAGGTAGCTGTGACACATGACAAGAGGTAATTGAACTGTATGACAAGAGGCAGCTGTGACACATGACAAGAGGTATTTGAACTGTATGACAAGAGGCAGCTGTGACACATGACAAGATGTAGCTGTGGCACATGACAAGTGATAATTAATTGAACTGTATGACAAGAGGCAGCTGTGACACATGACGAGATGAACTGTATGACAAGAGGCAGCTGTGACACATGACAAGATGTAACTAAACTGTATGACAAGAGGCAGCTGTGTACATATGACAAGAGGCAGCTGTGACACATGACAAGATGTAACTAAACTGTATGACAAGAGGCAGCTGTGACACATGACAAGAGGCAGCTGTGACACATGACAAGAGGTATTTGAACTGTATGACAAGAGGCAGCTGTGACACATGACAAGATGTAGCTGTGGCACATGACAAGTGATAATTAATTGAACTGTATGACAAGAGGCAGCTGTGACACATGCCAAGAGGCAGCTGTGACACATGACAGGAGGCAGCTGTGACACATGACAGGAGGCAGTTGTGACACATGACAAGAGGCAGGTAGGACACATGAGAAGAGGCAGGTAGGACACATGAGAAGAGGCAGCTGTAACACATGACAGGAGGCAGCTGTGACACATGACAAGAAGCAGTTGTGACACATGACAAGGGGCAGGTAGGACACATGACAGGAGGCAGCTGTGACACATGACAGGAGGCAGTTGTGACACATGACAAGAGGCAGGTAGGACACATGAGAAGAGGCAGGTAGGACACATGAGAAGATGTAACTAAACTGGGTATAAGAGGCAGCTGTGATGGTAGCAGAAGGACATGGCATAAAGGAGGCAGCTGTGATACATGACAAGAGGAGCTAGACACATGACAAGATGTAACTAAACTGTATGACAAGAGGCAGCTGTGACACATGACAGGAGGCATGTGATACATGACAAGGAGTAGCTGTAACACATGACAGGAGGCAGCTGAGACACATGACAAGAGGCAGTTGGACACATGACAAGAGGCAGGACACATGACAGGGAGGCAGCTGTAACACATGACAGGAGGCAGCTGTGACACATGACAAGAAGCAGTTGTGACACATGGACAAGGCAGGTAGGAGCATATGAGAAGAGGTAGGACACATGAGAGAGAGGCAGCTGTAACACATGACAGGGAAGCAGACACACATGACAAGAGGTAGCAGAGGCAGGGGACACATGAGAGAAGAGAAGCAAACACATGACAGGAGGCAGCTGTGACACATGACAAGAAGCAGTTGTGACACATGACAAGGCAGGGAACACATGAGAGGCAGCTGTGACACATGACAGGAGGCAGTTGTGACACATGACAAGAGGCAGGTGGGACACAGAGAGAGAGGCAGGTAGGACACAGAGAAGGAGTGTACGTAAAACATGAGAGGAGCTGTGACACATGACAAGAGGCAGCTAGACATGACAAGAGGCGGTGTGGGACACACATGAGAAGAGGCAGGTAGGACACATGAGAAGAGGTAACACAGACAGGAGTGTACAGACACATGACAAGGCAGCAGACACATGACAAGAGGCAGGTGGGACACATGAGAGAAGAGGCAGGTGGGACACATGAGGAGAGGCAGCCTAACACATGACAAGTAGCTGCACATGACAAGAGAGACAGCTGTAACACATGACAAGAAGCAGCTGTGAAACATGACAAGAGGCAGCTGGACATGACAAGAGACAGCGAAACATGACAAGAGGCAGCTGTGATGACAAGAGGCAGTTAGACACATGATAAGAGGCAGCTGTGACACATGACAAGAGGCAGCTGGACACATGACAAGAGGCAGTTTGACACATGACAAGAGGCAGCTGTAACACATGACAAGAGGCAGCTGTAACACATGACAAGAGGCAGCTACACATGAAAAGAGGCAGCTGGACACATGACACAGGGCTGTGACACATGACAAGAGGCAGCTATGACACATGCCAATTGGCAGCTGAAACACATGACAAGAGGGCAGCTGGGACACTTGACAAGAGGCAGCTGTAACACATGGTAGAGGCAGCTGTGACGCATGACAAGAGTTGTTAGACACATAAAAGAGGCAGCAGCTGTGACACATGACAAGAGGCAGCTGGGACACATGAGAAGAGGCAAACCAGACACATGACAAGAGGCAGGTGTGACACATGACAGGTAACTGTGACACATGAGGAAGAGGCAGCTGTGACACATGACAAGAGGCAGCTGGGACACTTGACAATGGGCAGCTGTAACATCAGTAAGAGGTGCTATGGACGCATGACAAGAGGCAGTTGTGACACATGATAAAAGTGGCTGTGACACATGACAAAGGTAGCTGTGACACATGACAAGAGGCAACTGGGCCACATGACAATAGGCAACTAGGCTCATGACAAGTGGCAGCTGTGGCACAAGACAAGAGGTGCACTGTGGCGACAAGAGGCAGCTGTAACACACAGACAGCAGCTGTGGCACATGACAAGAGGCAGCTGTGACACATGACAAGAGGCAGCTGGGACCAACAAGAGGCAGCTGTGACACATGACAAGAGGCAGCTGTGACACATGACAGGAACCAGACACACATGACAGGGAGGCAGCTGTGACACATGACAAGAAGCAGCTGTGACACATGACAAGAGGCAGCTGTGACATGACAAGAGGCAGCTGTGAAACATGACAAGAATAATTGTGGCGACAAGTGCTTGACATATGAAAAGGAGGCAGCTGGGACATATGACAGGAGGAGCAGACACATGACAAGAGGCAACTGAAGATGACAAGAGGCAGCTGACACAGACAAGAGGCATGGGACATATGACAAGTGGCAGCTGTGACACATGACAAGATGTAGCTGGACACATTACAAGAGGCAGCTGTAACACATGACAAGAGGCAGCTGTGGAACATGACAAGAGGTGGTCTGTGACATTATGACAAGAGGCAGCTGGGACACATGATGAAGAGGCAGCTGTGACACATGACAAGAGGAGCTGTGACATATGACAAGAGGCACAGAAACATGACAGGAGGCAGCTGTGACACATGATGCTTGAAGCTAGACACTGACAAGAGGCAGGGCTGTGACACATGACAAGAGGCAGCTGTGAAACATGACAAGAAATAGTGTGCTGTATGACAAGTGCTCACAAATGAAAAGAGTTGCTAGACACATGACAGGAGTGCAGCTGTGACACATGACAAAACTGTATACATGACAAGAACATGCTGTGACACATGACAAGAGGCACCTGGGACATATGACAAGTGGCAGCTGTGACACACATGACAAGAGATAGCTCTAACACATGCACTGGTGTGTTATGTTGTATACATCAGGACGTTACTATATAAGACGTGTTACATACACTAGTTTACTATACAAGACGTGTTGCTATAAACTAGGCGTTACTATACAAGACGTGTTGCTATACACTAGGCAAGTTACTATACAAGACGGATGTTATACACTAGGCGTTACTATACAAGACGTGTTGCTATACACTGAACGTTACACAAGACGTGTTGCTATACACTAGGCGTTACTATACAAGACGTGTTGCTGTACACTAAGCGTTACTATACAAGAAGTTTGCTATACACTAGGCGTTACTATTAAGACGTGAGTTACACTACTGTAGACGTTAGTATACAGATGTTTTGCTATACCCAGTGTGACTATACAAGACGTGTTGCATACACTAGGCGTTACTTTAAAGGTAGTAGGTATTGGGCGGCTATCAAACAGGAGTACTACCTCCTGGGAAGATATTGGAAGCATAATGTATTTGTCTGCTGGGTACGCCTGCTGCCACATGGATCACGAAATTTGACCAAGTCCCAGGATGCTGATCTGACTTTCTGCTTCATGTACACACAATTGCAGGGGTCTTAATTGTTTCTCTTACTATGACAACACAACATACATATATTGTTTCTCAGTTTTATTATTATTATTATTATTATTATTATTATTATTATTATTATTATTATTATTATTATTATTATTATTATTATTATTATTATTATTATTACTATTATTATTATTAATATTATTATTATTATTATTATTTATTATTATTATATCATATTATTATTATTATTATTATTATTATTATTATTATTATTATTATTGTATTATTATTATTATTATTATTATTATTATTATTATTATTATTAATATTATTATTATTATTAATATTATTATATTCGCCCCCCAGGCCCCGATGTGGAGTCAGTGACCTGTGCTGGGTGGGCTAATCCCAGTAAAAAAGTGGTAGTAACCTTAATCATCTTGATCAAGTTCACATCATATGAAAGAGTGGAGATGGCATTTACAGAAGCAGGTCGAGAGGGTAGAAGGAGGATGGTGAGTGGAAGGATAAAAGAAGAATTCCATAAAACAACGGAGGGAGGAATGAGGAAAAAAGTGGGGGAGAAAGGGAGGAAGTAGAGGTCTAATGAAAGTGGGAGAGAAATGGCCTAGTGATAGAAGGAAACTCACTTCACTGGCATGGCTGTCAAGCCTCAGAGGCAGGCGTTGATTCGAACAAGTAACAGGAAGCCTCGTCCAGGGCCGATGTGTATCCATCTGGACAATATGCTGTGGGGGACGACAATAATGCTGTGTACTGTGGGGATATATAGTAGACTGTGTACTGTGAGGGATATAGTAAGACTGTGTACTGTGGGGGATATAGTTAGACTGTACTGTGAGGATATGTAGAGGCTGTGTACTGTGAGGATATAGTAAGGTGGCTGTGTACTGTGGGGGATATAGTAAGGCTGTGTGCTGTGGGAGATATAGTAAAGCTTGTGTGTACTGTGGGGATATAGTAAGGCTGTGTGCTGTGGGAGATATAGTATGAAGCTGTGTGCTGTGGGGATATGGTAAGACTGTGTGTTGTGGGGGATATAGTAAGGCTGTGTACTGTGGGGGATATAGTGAGGCTGTGTACTGTGGGGGTATGGTAAGGCTGTTTACTGTGGAGGATATAGTAGGTGTGTACTGTGGGGGATATGTGAGCTGTGTACTGTGGGGGATATAAATGGGAGCTGTGTGTACTGTGGGGATATAGTGGGCTGTTATGCTGTGGGGGATATGGTGGAC